ATCCTATGTGTAGGCTGACCATATGTCCTGTTTTAAACGGGTCAATACCATTATTTCTTCAGCCCCCCCCGTCGTTTCTTTTAAAAAATCTATTTTGTCCCGTCTTCCTTCTTAGGAGTGCGCTCTGAGTATTGGCGCCACCTTAATGGGACTGGGACCGGACGGCCACATTGATATAAATGTTAAGACGACCGCAACTGCGTCCGGCATTAACTTCTACATCCGTGCAGCCAGCCGGTCTCAATAAGGAGGCGCACAGAGCGCACTCTTAAGAAGTTTCCGCCAGCGCTCATTCGTCCTCCGCGGCAGCACTGACTGGGAGGCAGTTACTTATAGGTGCACAGGGCACACTCCTAAGAAGTCTCCACCGGCGCTCATTCTTCCTCTGCGGCAGCGCTGACTGGGAGGAAGTTACTTATAGGTGCACAGAGCACACTCCTAAGAAGTCTCTGCCGGCGCTCATTCTTCCTCTGCGGCAGCACTGACTGGAAGGAAGTTACGTATAGGAGCACAGAGCGCACTTCTAAGAAGTCTCCACGGGCGCTCATTCTTCCTCTGCGGCAGCACTGACTGGGAGGAAGTTACTTATAGGTACACAGAGCGCACTCCTAAGAAGTCTCCGCCAGCGCTCATTCTTCCTCCACGACAGCGCTGACTGGGAGGAAGTTACGTATAGGAGCACAGAGCACACTCCTAAGAAGAACCCGCCGGCGCTCATTTTTCCTCTGCGACAGCACTGACTAGGAGGAAGTTAAAGGAGAACTATGGGGTCAGCGCTTTTCCATATAGTTCTCCTAAGGGTAAGGGGAGGACACAAACTAGCGTCCTCCCGTCACCCAAAGCTCAGTATACCGCGAGCTACAGTTCGCGGTATACTGAGCCCGCCGCAGCCGGAACGGATCCCGACAATTCTGTCTGGATCCATCAAGCTGTGTGAGTGACAGCTGGCTCTGCCTATCTAGAGGCAGAGCCAGCTGTACCCACCCCCTCCCCTGTCCGTTCTGCAAGTCAGCACTGGAGGATCGGACAGGGGAGGGGGAAATCTCTGCAGGGATAGATTGAGAAGTGAGCGAGTGCCGGTATGTGTTCGCTCACTTCCCGATATACTGAGCCGACCTGTGACAGTCTCATTGTCACAGGTCGGCTCAGATTATGAGGCTGAGTGAAAATCACCTCATAATTCTCCTTTAAGTATAGGTGCACAGAACGCACTCCTAAGGAGTCTCCCCGAGCGCTCATTCTTCCTCCGCAGCAGCACTGACTGGGAGGAAGTTACGTGTAGGCGCACAGAGCGCACTCCTAAGGAGCCTCCCCCAGCGCTCATTCTTCCTCCACGACAGCACTGACTGGGAGGAAGTTACATATAGGTGCACATAGCACACTCTGTGCTTATACAAAACTTCCTCCCAGTCAGTGCTGCCGTGGAGGAAGATTAAGCAGCGGAGGGGAATTTGGGCAGCCATTTTATATTATCAACAGCAGAGCTTTTATCTCAGCAGGGCAGTGCTCCAGAGTGTTAAGAAATCTCAAGGTTAATGGCATCGTTCTCTGCTCCTCAGACTGATACAATGGAAGGATATGAGGCAGTATAGGAAGGGGGAAAGAGTCAGAAAGAATGCACTGCATTGCATGAGTTCTGTCACTGTAGAATAATTGTTGATTGTTGAGATGTGCGTTTGGATTTCGGACGAACTGCCAAATCAGTGAATTTCTGTACAATTCAGCAGTTCATCCGAATCCGAATGACTAGATACCTGAATATACAAATTACTATATATTCGGGCATATAGTAATTCGTTGTATGGACGCCGCCATCTTGGTGCATCTGACGTCACGTAAGAAGACACAGCACCCTCTTGGGTGCAACAAGAAGCGGCGCCCATGGTTTCTGTGCACGCATGCATTCGTATGGACGTGTCGGCGGTCAATATGGCTGCCGCACATTTTTTTTTCTTCAATGTGCAGTTTCGGATTCGGACGCTCGTTGCCTCCGAATCTGAAACAGCATAATTATTAATTTTGTTCAAAACTTCATGCTGTACACATCTACTACATTGTCATCAAACTTTTGTTATCATCTTACTTTCACATGAATACAGAAAACTAAAACCGTCCCATTTTTGCCATCCCAATGTCCCGTTTTATGGTCAGCCTACCTATGTATGTCACACTGAGCGACATGGATATCGAATGCTTTTCCACACGATTTTGTGCTGAGCGGCTTTGAGCTACATTGCGCGACATTGAGCGACAGTGCACATTTGGTCGCGCTACGTAGCACATTTTTTGGGAGGGACTTCGTTGCTGCTACATTGGGCTGTAACCAATCAACAGCGATCTTGTTGTGACATCATTCTTTCCTTCCATATTGTTGTGTAAAAGTGACCCTTCTGCAGTGCGATATTGCGCGACTTTGCGCGACTTTGCGCAACACCATTGAGTCTATTGCCAAATCGCGTGACATCCGCAGAAAAATAGGTCATGCTCAAGTGACAAGCTTGAGCGACGAGCTACAGGCGACATTGAGCTATGAGATGTGAACAGCTCCATTGAAATGCATTGGACAAGCTACATTGAGCGATATTACGTGGAAATATGCGCAATTTTGGGTCGGAAATCGCGCGATAAACAGCTCAGTGTGAACGGGGACTAAATGATGCCTCTTGATCTGATCATCTTCTTCTTTCCTGTAGTTTTCAGGAGTCCCTCGAGCACTGGTGCCGGTCTCTGCCCCAGCGCAGACTCCTCTTGTCCCATGGTGTCTGTCCGTGTGAACGCTCCCGGCTTCGTGCATTCACCTCCACTGTGTCTCTCCTCTTCTCCCCGCCGATGACCTCCACTGCGCATGCTCCCACACTCATCCTCCTGCACATCCACCGGAGAAATTGGATTTTACAGCCGGGAGCGAGCGGTGGAGACACAGGTAAGTTTTTACCTATTTGGTAACTTTTTTATTTTGTAAAATGTTTTTTACATATATCTACTGTTTGCTATCAGTGGATATACGGTATATATAAAAAAAGTGACTGTAACAGGGATCCCAACCTGAAAGAAGCAATTTCAGGGGGTGTCCCTCTCATTTCAGGGAAGTGCCCTCCCCCCATCCGCAGAGGGGGCTTGGGGGGGCTGGGAGTGAGCACCCCCCTGAAATGATGGCAGATAGCACAGGAAGCAATAGCTTCTTTGCTATCTGCAGGTTTTTTGTTTTTTTTTTGTATTCTGACAGTTGCAGGCGTCAGAATAAAAAAAAAAAGAAGGCATAGGAATGCATAGCTAGATTCCTATTGGCTATTGCAAAGTGAAATAGCCAATAGGAATCTAGCTGTGCATTCCTATGCCTTTTTTTTTTTTTTGACTGACGGTCGGGCCGCGGCTCCCGATGTCAGAAAAGAAAAAAAAAAAAAAAGGCATAGGAATGCATAGCTAGATTCCTATTGGCTATTGCAAAGTGAAATAGCCAATAGGAATCTAGCTGTGCATTCCTATGCCTTTTTTTTTTTTTTGACTGACGGTCGGGCCGCGGCTCCCGATGTCAGAAAAAAAAAAAAAAAAACGATCGCCGGGAAAGGTTTAATCTCCTCGATCGAGCAGATTGAACCTTTCCGGGAGGAAGTGTATCTAATAGCGGGAGACTACCGGAGCGTCCAGGAGAGTTGGGATGTCTGGTGTAATTCTACTTTAGGCCTTGAAAGTTCAGATGAGAGCTGAAATAAGCGCACTGGCAACATTGACAGGTGGCATGCCTTGAAGGTAATTGTTTTGGGAGACATTAACCCTATTGCGACCAGTGATGTACATTGTACCTCATTGGCAGCGGGCCCGTTTAAACAGACTGCGCCGGGACTCTGTTTACAATTGTAAAACCGGCTGTCAGCTTTACAATAGAAGTGATTCTGGCGACTCAGCTGCCGCCAAATCGCTTCTGTGGCCTGGTGAAGGGGTGCCCCCCCCCCATCCGACACCCCCGCCATGTTTCC